AGTTTTTTCATGGTTCAACAATACCATCAATAATCCCTTCCCATGTTAGAGTTTTTCCTGGTTCATCAATGCCATCAATAATCCCTTCCTATGTTAAAGTTTTTTCATGGTTCATCAATGCCATCAATAATCCATCCCTATGTTAGAGTTTTTTTCATGGTTCAACAATACCATCAATAATCCCTTCCTAGGTTAGTTTTTTCATGGTTCAACAATACCATCAATAATCTCTTCCTATGTTACAGTTTTTTCATGGTTCATCAATACCATCAATAATCCCTTCCCATGTTAGAGTTTTTTCATGGTTCAACAATACCGTTAGTAATCTCTTCCTATGTTAGAGTTTTTTCATGGTTCATCAATGCCATCAATAATCCATCCCTATGTTAGAGTTTTTTTCATGGTTCAACAATACCATCAATAATCATTCCTATGTTAGTTTTTCATGGTTCAACAATACCATCAATAATCCCTTCCTATGTTAGTTTTTTCATGGTTCAACAATGTCACCAATAATCCCTTCCCATGTTAGAGTTTTTTCATGGTTCAACAATACCGTTAGTAATCTCTTCCTATGTTAGAGTTTTTTCATGGTTCATCAATACCATCAATAATCATTCCTATGTTAGTTTTTTCATGGTTGAACAATACCATCAATAATCCCTTCCTATGTTAGTTTTTTCATGGTTCAACAATACCAACAATAATCCCTTCCTATGTTAAAGTTTTTTCATGGTTCAACAATACCAACAATAATCCCTTCCTATGTTAGTTTTTTCATGGTTCAACAATGTCACCAATAACTCCATCTTCCCCCTCAGCCACATAGTTTTTGTTCGCTTTAATATAACTGACCTTATAAAAAAACACAACTGGAGACCAGTGGTCTGTTTACAGGGCTTTACGCCGATAAATATGGGAAGATAACCGCAAGTTGTCTGTGTTTATAACGTGATTTCGATAATACAAATTTTGATCACACGTTAAAAAGGGGACAAATTTTCCTACTCTCCAGTTTTTCAACATTTTGTTATTGAAAGTCGCAAAATCCTCTAAATAATAACACATCGTGTGTAACACACAGAAGATATAAGTAATACATGTTAAAGCGTTTTCTTAAAGGTACAGATATCGCTTCAAACTTTATAGGTCACAACAATGTTGCCAGATTAAGATCAAAACTGAATCCTCTTAACACAGTCAAATAAACTATTTTAATGATCTGATAAGCATATAGAAACTTTAAATCTGTATACTTCTTTCTCAAGATGTGGATAGAAAGTTAGGCTATAGTGGAAAAGTTGATATTTTACGTAAGTAAAAACAACGTTGATGTTTTAGCACAAAACTACACAATGGGCTATCTGTGTTGTGCCCGGTTTCTAGCGTTGTAAGTCCGCAGACATGCCGCTGTGCCACTGGGGGTGAGGGGAGGCGTACGCTATGGAATCTGGGTTCTTTTCAGCCTTCTGTTTTCAGAAGAATGTCTAAATGGAGGCCAGGTTTTGGAATCATTTTCTGTTGTAAGTACAAAGTGTACAAATGTGTTTTTGTAGCTCAAAACAAGTCCTAAAGAATGCAAGACTAATTAGGTCGATGTAGTTTGGTGGGTTTTGGAATCATTTTCTGTTGTAAGTACAAAGTGTACAAGTGTGTTTTCGTAGCTCAAAACAAGTCTTAAAGAATGCAAGACTAATTAGGTCGATGTAGTTTGGTGGGTTTTGGAATCATTTTCTGTTGTAAGTACAAAGTGTACAAGTGTGTTTTCGTAGCTCAAAACAAGTCTTAAAGAATGCAAGACTATTTATGTCGATGTAGTTTGGTGGGTTTTGGAATCATTTTCTGTTGTAAGTACAAAGTGTACAAGTGTGTTTTCGTAGCTCAAAACAAGTCTTAAAAAAATGCAAGACTAATTATGTCGATGTAGTTTGGTGGGAATTTTTCTATATTCAAAAGTATCGATCTGAGGATTGTGACGTAATTTTGAATATACAAACAAGGGGGGGGGGGAAGGATTGTTTGTTTGTTTGTTTTTAATTATGCACAAAGCTACACAAGGGCTATCTGTGCTCTGCCCACCACTGGTATCGAAACCCGGTTTCTAGCGTTGTAAGTCCGCAGACATACCGCTGTACCACTGGGGGCGGGGGGGGAGGAAACTTGAACTTTGACCTGTCGCACTCAGAGCAGGTGTGTGAGAAGTTAAACATTTTAACAGTTATTTCTAACAGTTTCTTAGCCTCTACTAAACAACACACACACACACAAAACATTGTAACTGGTATGTGTTTTTAACTACACGAGTCAACCGTGAGCGAAGCAAAAGTTAGCTAAAAGTAAAATAATTAAAACCTCGCGCATTTAAAGCACTTTATCTTCTCCTGTACATTTTACTGGAACTTTCTTTACCGTTTGTATTTTTAACAAAACATTTTGCTTACAAATTTCGACAAATATATATATATATATATTAATCGCGAACATCTCATTATGATGCGCCACAAAAATATATACGATTACTATACTTTTCGGATGAAGTTTGGATTGTTTGTTTGTAATTAAGCACAAAGCTACACAATGGGCTATCTGTGCTCTTTAACAAAATACCCAAAATTTCACAAAATGAAACGTTAGGAACAAAGAACCCAAATTATGTAGGAATACTAAGAAAGTTTCAACGAAAACAATTAAATACGTTTTAACTTCGACGCCCTGGCGGTGGTCGAATGTTATTATATAAAACAATTTGAACTAAAATACCAAAACTAAAAGATAGTCAATAAGATGAAATATAGTGGACTTTTAATTCATTTACCCATATTGAAATTTACTGTCATATATCGGACACCTGCTGATTCAGTAACGTTCAAAAGAAACACACTTTTCACTGTTTCCTGCTACGTGGTTTGGTTTCCAACACTACCGGTATCTATCTATAGTGCGTGTTTTATTTAAACACACTTATCTCTGTTCCTGCTACGTGAGATGATTTCCAACAATACAAGTACCTATCTAAAGTGCGTGTTTTATGTAAACACACTTTTCTCTGTTTACTGCTGCGTGAGTTGGTTTTCAACAATACAAGTACCTATCTATAGTACGTGTTTTATGTAAACACACTTTTCTTTGTTTACTGCTTCGTGAGTTTGTTTCCAACAATTCAAGTACCTATCTTTTGTGCGTGTTTTATGTAAACACACTTTTCTCTGTTTACTGCTTCGTGAGTTTGTTTCCAACAATTCAAGTACCTATCTATAGTACGTGTTTTATGTAAACCCACTTTTCTCTGTTTCCTGCTGCGTGAGTTGGTTTTCAACAATACAAGCACCTATCTATAGTACGTGTTTTATGTAAACACACTTTTCTTTGTTTCCTGCTGCGTGAGTTGGTTTTCAACAATACAAGTACCTATCTATAGTACGTGTTTTATGTAAACCCACTTTTCTTTGTTTCTTGCTGCGTGAGTTGGTTTTCAACAATACAAGTATCTATCTATAGTACGTGTTTTATGTAAACCTACTTTTCTTTGTTTCTTGCTGCGTGAGTTGGTTTTCAACAATACAAGTACCTATCTTTTGTGCGTGTTTTATGTAAACACACTTTTCTTTGTTTCCTGCTGCGTGGTTTGGTTTCCAGCACTACCGGTATCTATCTAAAGTGCGTGTTTTATGTAAACCCACTTTTCTTTGTTTCCTGCTGCGTGGTTTGGTTTCCAGCACTACCGGTATTATCTAAAGTGCGTGTTTTATGTAAACCCACTTTTCTTTGTTTCCTGCTACGTGAGTTGGTTTTCAACAATACAAGTACCTATCTATAGTACGTGTTTTATGTAAACCCACTTTTCTTTGT